ACCACCTCCGGTGCTTAATAGTCAGTTTTCGGGGCCCCAGGCTGCGCGTTTTGGCCTCCGAACCTTCGTTTTGCATCGGTTTGGGTTCATTTTTGGCAGCGACCTTATTTTCATTGTTAGGAAGGTTGTAGAAGGGTGGGAGGCCAGCAATTATTCTGAAAGCCAGTTTTATTTCTTCATCGCTCTCTGTCGCCCGTTTTCCTTACTAGAAAGCTAATGTTGACCACTCCCGGGCCACTTTCTTTAGCCTTAAACCCCATATTTGTGTTGTACACACCTGGGAGGCCACCAATATGAATAGGCCGGCCAGTAATTGTCTCTGGCCCTTTTGAACCCCTCTAACAAGTTGGCTTTTCTCTCTCTTGGTTCACATTTTCTAGGTTTTGACCACATATTTGTGTTGTGCACACACGGGAGGCCACCTTTTTGGGGTGGCCGGCCAGCAATTTTGATTGATCCTTTTGACCCCTGGCCAGCTGGCCAGGGGGTGGTCGGCCGACCACCTGAACCTTTTGAACCTGGCCGGCCAGAATTCCCTCTCCAAATGTCTTCCAGCTGTACCCTCTGTTTCCCCCCAGATTTTGTATCCGGGGGGGTGCCTTTTGGGAGCAAAATTTGAATTGGTTTTCCCCCCTTTTCCTCCACTCCTCCCTCTATAAAACCAGACCTCCCAGCTCTATTTTTGGGGGTTACAAATTCTTGTTTAGAGCCTTGCTTACATCTCTCTATCTCCATCTCTTCTAAGCGTCAAAACCTTAAAAGCCTTGCACCATTTACACACCAACCCATAGCTCCACACATCCACACTCCATCCCAGCCTTTTGAAGCTGATTTCCAGAGGTTAGGAGCTCCTCTTCTTGGTCCAAAGACTGCTGGTTCATTGCTCTTCAAGGGTAAGCACACTTTTCCCCTAAACTTGTCTTTTCTTGCTTCATTTATAAGCCTTGCTTGCAAGCATTTTTGGGCTCCGACCCGAACTGTAAATAGTCATATTTTGTGCTCATCTCCATGTTTGATTAAGGGTCTTTCTCTGTTTGAGGTCTCCTCCTCGCCCTTTGTGTTTAAACTCTCTTTTAGGCCTTTTTTTGCATGATATTTTAGGCTTATTTGTGAGCTGTTTCGGACTTGGTCATAAACTGTAAAATGTCTTGTTTTGAGCCCCCTCTTCAACTTTGTTGAAGGGATCTTTTCCATTTGAGGTCAGATGCTACCACTTGTCTCTTTATCCCTCTTTTAGGCCTTTTTCTTGCATGATAGTTTAGCCCTATTTTTGATCATTTTCGTGGACTGATGTAAACTGTAAAGTGCTTCATTTTGAGCCCCTCTTTAACTTTGTTGAAGGGATCTTCACTGTTTGGAGCCAGCTGCTGCCCCTTGTCTCCATTCTCTATTTTAGGGCCATTTTTGCATGATAGATTAGCCCTACTTGTGTTTATTTTTGAGAGTTGTCATAAACTGGAAAAGGGCTTTTTTTGACATCATATTCAAGCTTTTTTAAGGTTCCATTTTTGTTTGAGGTCATATGCTTCCTTGTATGCTTGATTGACTCCTATGCTTATGTGATATAACTGCCTGAATGCCTGTGGGTGAAGGTTGGATTATTTGAATTGGAATGAATGCATTGACTGTGAGTTTTAAGCCCGCTAGATAGTGGCAAAATCATGTTTTTTTAAGCCCACGCGAGGGTGGCAAATCTAAGTTTTAGCCTACTTGCGGGTAGCACCATCAAACCACTTTCAAAAATAAACATGAAATGTTTTGTTCCAATTCAGACGATCCAGTCTATACTTGTATGCTGTGCGCATCACATAGTAAATCTAGGCTAATAACTGAAATAAGAACGTATAAAGTTTTCAAAACTAGATATCATAGTTAGTAGAGGTCGATCTTTGATCGGGCGAGCGGGGCTGCTCACGAAGTGACCTTCCCCAATCGTACCCAAGTTCCCGAGCCGAGGCAACTTTGGTGATGACGGACACGTGGCCTTAGGCAACGAGTCAGGGCTTCCTAAATTTTCAAAAAATAAAATATTTAGGTGGCGACTCTGTATCTGGCAAAGCAGTCCATGTTTGGCACTTCTTTAAAAAAATCTGTTTTCTCAAAACTATTTGCCGGATTTGGACTCTTTGGTTCAGATTAAGAACCGTGACAATTTGAATCCGAACTGTAGTGAGCCCAAATGAACAGAACGGGACTCATCCTCCCGGGCGTTCGGGGACGTCTACAACAGTCGAAATGTCAGACCTGGATTAGCATCTGATGGTTTTAATCCATTTAGGACAATGAGCATTGCTCATAACACGTGGCCTGTTGTGATGATGTCATATTACTTGCCTCCTTGGTTATACATGAAGCAACCATATTTCATGTTATCTTTGCTTATTGATGGGCCTCGTGGTCCTGGAAATGATATTGATGTGTTTTTGTAACCTTTAATTGACGAGTTAAAGGAATTATGGACTGATGGCATACTTACTTATGATGCACCAAGCAACTAGATGTTTCATATGCGTGCAGCTTTGTTGTGGACCATAAGTGATTTCCCTGCATATGCTAATTTATCTGGATGGAGTACAAAAGGAGCATTGGCTTGTCCATCTTGTAATAAAGATACCCATTCTAGATGGTTAAAACATAGTCGAAAGTATTGTTACATAGGCGGTTCTTAGATGAAGGGCATAAGTTTCGGAAAGATGCAATAGGTTTTGATGGAAATGTTGAAACAAAGAAAATGCCACCTCAATTATCCGGTGATGATATTTTCAAACATATAGAATTCATTGAGAATAAATATGGGAAGGGTGATGGAAATGAAAAGACACATGTGTCTAAAAAAAGAAAAGTTATTGAGGATGTGAAAGGCATTCATAAAACCTTGAGGGAAGAATATAATTGGAGAAATAAAAGTATTTTTTTCCAATTACCATATTGGAAGGATAATTTAATTCGACACAATCTTGATGTTATGTACATTGAGAAAAATGTGTGTGAAAATATACTTTGGACCCTATTGAATGTTGTGGGAAAAACAAAGGATAGTCTAAAAGCTCGTCGTGACCTTCAAGAGATGAGACTTTGTAAAGCTCTTCACCCTCAACAACGGGTGTTCAAATACTTTTTTGTTTTGTTTTGTTTTGTTTTTTTCCAGATGACTATGAAACGAAAGCAACCCCGTTGGACAGCTGGCTCCATGGCTGATGTTTCACAACCAACAACTACTACTAATCAGTCACATCCTCAGCCTCAGCCTCTGCCACAGCCGCAGTCTGAACCACAGTCGCAACCACTACAACCTCTTTGCAACAATATAACTCCAACCTTGAGCTCTTCCCAACAAAGTAATCATGAATTGCAGTCATCAAGTGGTGCAGGTAATTTAATTTGAATAACCATCAAATATAGAACAATTACCATTACATGCTACGCTATGAATTGGAACCTTGAGCTGAAATTAACATGTTTACTTAATTTTTACTTTCTTTTATGCCTATTTTATAAAAGTTTCAATAGCTACCAGCACGGGTCAATCAACAATTAGACTAACAAGAGGGTCTGGTCATCCTTTTGCTAGATGGGGCACAGGACAAAAGTTAAAGGTTACATTAAATGAAGGGAATCAACCTATTGGCGATGAAGCTGCAAAATTACAAAGTCAGTTAGGCATTCTAGCCCGGAATGGGAATTTTGCCCCATTAACTTTCAATGATTGGAGAGCTCCACAATTAAACCCCTATAAAGAACGTATATGGCAGGAAGTTAAGGTATGAAAATGCAAATACTATATAAATCTTATTCTTGTACTCATACTTTAATTAACAAATATATTTGTTTGATATCTTGTTATATATAGGAAAGCACTGATGCACCAGATATTTTCAAGCATAATTGCTTGATGTCAGTTGGAAAGAAATGGAACGACTGGAAAGACCAACTGAAAAGAAAGCACTTTAACAAGTACAAAACTAATGAAGAAAGCTTAGCAAATTGTCCCGATAGGGTGGATCCTAGTCAGTGGAAGATTCTCGTTCAATTTTGGAATAGTCTAGAGGCACAGGTATTAATTGTCGCATTCTATAATTTTTTACCTTAGAATTCTGTTTTTTATGACCTGATAATGACTTATTGTGGTTGTTATTCCGGTTATGGTCAATAAAGTTTTTGGCTATGCTTCAAGTAATGTTTGAGAATGACTGATTTTAGTGTTAGTTAAGACTTAATGATGACTCGTTACGGTATTGATTACATGACTTATTAGTTTAAGAATATAGAGCAAAGCATTGTCTAAACACATGCATATATTTGCCAAAGAATATGGTGTGTGAAGGTTTGGCTATTAAGCGCTTTTGTTAAAAGATCTAAATTGCTTCAAGAGAAGTTGGAGAAAGACTTGTACCAAATCTCGATATCTATTTATTGTGATAGGAACGCAGTACGACCAACAGTGACAATCGAAAAAAATTGACAATGTGCCATAAAAGTGAAAGAAAGGCCCATTGTCGGGTAAAGGATGAGGTAAATGATAGGTTAACAATTTTTTCTCAATATGCATTGTATTTGGTAACGTTGTAATATGTATTTATTGTTCCTAATAATGAAGATGTATAAGAGAGATAAGGTGTAACCAGATCGAATAATGGTCTATATAGAGACACACACAAAGAAGAATGGAGATCCAGTTGATGATGCATCAGATATAGCCATTGTATGTGTAATAATGTGAATGTTTACGATTAATTATTTACCTATTCATGTTCTAATAATTTTTTTTCTTATATTTTAATCTCGTTTGAAAGAGGGATTGTCTTAAGTGCCCGAGTCCTTACAAATTGAAAAATTTCGAGAGGAGCTATTCATTGAGGTCTTAGGAGTAGATGGGCATGGTCGTGTACGTACCTATGGATTGGGACCTTGCCCATCTTAGGTGTTTGGGACAAGATATTCTGGACCTCGACAACGTATAGACATGGATAAATTGCGCACAGAGGTACAAGAAGAGGTGCGACAGGAATTATTAGCTGAGTGGGGTGAAAGGTTTACTCAATTAGAGCGCAAATGTGACAAAATGCAAGCTCATGTGGAAACTATGGGATATCCAATGCCTCAATCACCACCAATGCCTTCACATATTGGAGGGGTAATGTGTATTTAATCCTAGTTTAAGTTAAGTATGTTTTACTATAATAAATTGGATATTGTAAAGTTAGCTAATTATATGGTTATGTTTAAACAGAATGGTTCCAGACCATCATTCAATATGCAATAGGTTCCAGATGCCTCTAGTTCTCACCAGTTGAATGAAGAGCTAATGGTTCCATCACATGAAGTAAGACAATGTTTACGCATAATGAGTATTTAAACATAGTTATTAAATTTTTTCATAAACATTATTATTAGTTCTATTTCTTCAAGGAATACTAGTTAAATTTTTGGCTTAGTTAGAAAGCACATTATTACCTCCCTATAGTTTAAAAATATACACATCTCTGGTATGGAGTAAAATGCAAACGTTATTTTCTTTTGTTTTTGAGCTAAACTAGAAGGGGGTAAAGTGTATTTAATCCTAAATACTTTAATGTGATTGCTTTCATACACAACATTTACACATTAATTTTTTTTTAAGGTTGGACAAGAAGTAGAATTACTTACTTCTAAATTGCCAAAACAAGTTGTGGCAATTGGCACAGTTATTTCTAAGGACCCATCCAAAGTAGTAGGGGACAACGATTGGGGCTAGAATATTGGGAAGTTCGTATTACGAAAGTGATAAAGCCTCGTCAAAATTTGGTGAAAGCTCTTGAAGGTGTCAAAACAGTTGGAGATGCACTTCACAAATACGTAGCTTGGCCTTCGGTTGATGTAATGCATATGCACTAATACTATATTTATTATATTTTTAAATCTTAGTGGTAGCTAAATTTATATCTTTTTATACATGTGCAGATTGAGGATCCATTTGCAGACTTTGCAGATTGAGGGGAATTAGATGGACCATGTAGATAAAGGACATACTTTTTGAAACTTTTATTTTGGCACTTGTGTTTTGAGACAAATATTTTGCAACTAATTGCTACATTTGCAGGTTTGAAAGGAGCTAGATAGAACATGTAGATGATGTACATGCTTTTTGGGACTTCTTATTTTGGCACTTGTGTTTTGAGACAATATTTTGGAACTAGTTGCAGCATTTTGCAGATTGGGAGAGCTAGGTGGACCATGTAAATGCAAATGTCTTTTGGGACTTTTATTTTGACACTATATATTTTGAGACAAGTATTTTGAACTAATTGCTACAATTGACATGTATTTTGGAACTAATTGCTACAAGTGACATGTATTTGGAACTTTGCTACATGCGACATGTATTTTGGAATAGATTTTGTTAATTGAATATGGTGTATGGATTTGTATGGCTATAAATTGTATTATGGCAGCTTATATATTGTTATATTGAATGTATGGAAACTTTAGTAGGTTATACACTTCTATTGAATGATTTTCATTGAGTACACTAACAGGTATTGAATATAAATGTATAAACAAAGTCAGTTTAACAAATGGTTCATAATTTTCGACGGTTTAATTTTGTCTCTAAAAGAAAATCATATTTATTTTGAAATATATCTGACGGCGGTAAATAAATGCCGTTAATTGTTGAAATCTTTTGCGGCAGTAAAAAACTACCAATTTTTACTCTAAAATACTGTCGTTAACAAATGGTTCATAATTAACGGCGGTTTAATTTTGTCGCTAAAAGAAAATTATATTTAATTTTGAAATTTATTTAACAACGGTAAATAAATGCCATTAATTTTTGTAGTCTTTTGCAGCAGTAAATAACTGCCATGTTTGACTCTAAAATACCGTCGTTAAAGGCATGACATTTACGACGGTTCTACAAACCGCCTCTTATTTTCAAGATCGTCGATTTTTTATGTGGCGGTTAATAACCACCGTGAATACCGCCGTTATTAATAATGGCGGTAAAATAACCGCCGTTAAATTATTTTCAACACTTGTATAGACGACGGTTACACTTTTTATCGTCTTACCGCCGTTAAAAGTTTTTGTGACGGTTGTATGGTTATTAACGACGGTTACAAACCGCCGCTAAAGGCAAATTCTGGCGTAGTGAATTTTGGATATAGTTAACTTCTAGAGTATATTAAAAAAAAAAAAAAAACTTGAAATACAAAAAGTTAGAGTGAAAAAATATAAATTTTTAAAAGGAGATTTATTAGGAAATATTTTTTTAAGTACTTGTATTCCAATTAATCCATAACATATTTTTGTATTTCAATAAATCATATTGTTTGGATATTTGATCCTACAAATCATAATTTTTAGATTTAAGGTATTTTATGCACAATTTTATCTTTATAAATATTTTTTGTACAGTTAGCAATTTCATGATGTGAACATTCACATCATAAAACATTCAAATTGTCGATGTGAATAATATTATTGGGTGTATTTTGGTAACTATATCACTCATAAAACTTTTAGGAATATAAGAAATTAATTTAAACTAAATGAAATATAAATAGGTGAAAAGAGATTTATGAATAAACACCCCTTTTTTAAGGATTTGGCTTCTTTTATATTAGGGATCCAACTTGAGAGAGTATTTGGGCTTAGTGGGCCTATTGTGAACCCAATCTCGGTTATTCAAGCGGCTCACTTTTTAATATTTATGTAAAAAATTAAGATGATTAGATCTCGGTAGTTATATATTTGAATAACATTTATCTTAAAAAAAGATGGACGGAAAAAATAATTTCAAGAATAACCATTTATTTTTTTAAGACAAATGTGATTTAAACATATAATTATTAAAATTCAATTATTTTGATTTTTTACATAAATATTATTCTCAATAAATTTTAAAAAGTCAAACGGTTTGAATCACTGAGATTGGGTTCACAATGGATCCCCAAACACAAATGCTCTCTCAAGTCAGATTCCTAACATAAAAGAATCCAAACTCTTTAAAAATTAAAAAAAAAACATAAAAAGGAAAAATTCAGCTTGTTTAGTTCTGGTTTTCAGAAAATAGTTTTCAAAAAATTCTACTTTTTTATTTTCCATACTTTAATGTTTTCAATGAATTTTTAAAATATTTTTAGCAATTTTTTTTTTAATTTTTAGACACACCTAACATAAATGCACTTAAAAAGTATAATATTTGTTTAAAAAATCTTTAAAAAATAAACTAAATACCAAAAAATATGAAAATTTTGTATATTTTTTTTATATTTAATGTATTTATTTAATTTTTAAAATATTTTTTCATAAATATTTTATTATTTAGATACATTTAAGTAAGGTGTATCTAAAAAAGTAAAAAAAAAAAACTGCTTAAAATTTTAAAAATATTTACTAAAAAAACACAAAAAATAAGAAATACAATTTTCAGAAAACTGAATTCAAAATACTAAAACCAAATACACCAATTGTAATTTCCTGTAAAATGGAGGGTTTCAAGTAACATGATGACTGAAGTAACAGTGATACTATACGTATCTATTAGTATATCAAAATATATTATGATATTGTTATTTTAAAATTATGAATCTCATTTATTATATAATAGTGGTATCACATATAGTAATTAATATATTAATATAATTATAACATTATTATTTTAAACATATGACTATATTCATTATACAAATTATAAAAATATAAAATTTCTAAAATTATGCTTAATATATTAATTAATATATATAATATTATTCATTACATAAATTATAACAAATACAATTTCTAAAATTATATCACATTATCCCGTCGACTCATTTGACGAGGGTTAAATAAATGAGGGCCCACTACGCGGCTTATGATTGAGTAGAGGTTAAGAAACCACTCCGCCATTTTCCATTATTTCTGATTTTGCCCCAACATTCCGTGAACCTTTGCAACTAAAGTCAATTTCCTTCTATAATCATTCATTATTATTTTACTATTAATACTAACTAACCCCCCCAAAAAATAATAATACTCTTCATTATCCATTGGTCCTTTCTACTTTCCTGCCCCCAAATTTTCCCGAGAAAATTATCCAATTTTCTCGTGGATTTCATTTTTCCTTCATCTGTCCTGGAAACTTGATCTCGGCCTCTAAATCGTCTTCCAAAACCTAGAATCGTTCAGATTCAAATGGGACAACGACAATCGAAAGACGAATTGGTGTATCAGCAAGTCAATTATGGTAACGTCGAAGGAATCAAAGCTCTTCGCAGAGGAGGCGCTGGCCTTGAGGTACTGAATAATCACTCTCCGATCTTTCTTTTGATTCATTTGTGATTCTTCATTGTGTTAAAGATCAGATATATTTTGGTAAATAGGTAAATGAATCTGTGTTTTGGGAGCTTATCTATGTACATATGTGTAACTTTGAATTCTAGTGATTGTTTATTGTGTTATGTAGCAGAAACATATTACAAATAAGTAAATGAATCTATGTTTTTGTTGAACTAGAGAAGTTGATTTGTTTCTGAACAATATGATAATGAATCTATGTTTTTGGAGTTTATGTATATACACGTGTAAATTTGAATTATAATGATTGATTATTGTGTTATATAGCAGATATGTGTTACAATAAGTAAATGAATCTATGTTTTTCTTGAACAATGGGTTTTTGAATTCTAGTGATTGTTCATTCTGTTATATAGCAGATATATGTTACAAAAGAGTAAATGAATCTATGTTTTTGTTGAACAAGTGAAGTTGATCTTTCTGTGAACAATATGATTGTTTTTGTTGCAGTGGGTTGATAGAGAAGGGATGACTCCATTAATTGCTGCTTGCATGAATTCAGAACTGTATAATGTTGCAAAAACTTTGATAGAATTGGGTGCTAATGTGAATGCATACCGTCCAGGTATTCTTTTCGTGTTCAAATATTTCATGGGTTTCTAGCTTCTGATTGTATATGCATATAATTTGTTTTTTAGGTGATAGAAATTTGTTCTCACAAAATTCTCTGTAGTCATTAGAAAATAAAAGCGAACTTGGAACTCAGCCTTGAAGCCAGAAATTTTTCCTTGGGAGGCCAAGCCAAGTTCAAGCATCTTTTATACACCATTGCTTTTCCTTCCCTTATTATAATATTCAAGACATAACAAAATGTTATTTGAATAATTTTTACCAATTTAGAAAATTGTAGCAAAACCCTTCTTATATTTATAGAACTTACCAATTTTACTGGTTATAAAATTGAATTTTCACTTAAAAGATGCACTTCAAATTTCCAAATTTCACTTGACTAACTTGGTATAAGTAATAATAAATTGTTGGTTGTTTCTTATAATTTTTATTTTGCATGATTTAACTTAATCATTTTGATCAATTTTTGATTATTTTTTTAATTATTGGTTTAGGTCGCCAGGCTGGGACTGGGACTTCATTACATCATGCAGCAAAGCGAGGCCTTGAACAAACTGTTAAGTTACTTCTTTCACATGGAGGTGTGTGTACTAGTATCTTGTTGGTCAAAGATTGCATTACTGCAATGTGCTTAGAACATAAAATTTTTGCAAGCAACAAACACTGTTCCTTCTCCACTATTTGAACTAGTTTAACAGAAAAATATTTTTTTTAAATTTCAGCAAACGCATTAGTGATGAATGATGATTGTCAAACTCCACTTGATGTTGCTAGAATTAAAGGGTATAGCAATGTTGTCCGTGCAATTGAGGTATTCTTGAAGTTTGTGATGTTATTTCACTATTTTAATTTTGATATGGTGTGTGAAATAGCAATATTTGTATTTCTTTATTCTTTAATCATGTAGCAATGTGGCATTGTCTGTTCTAACTTCTATGTAATGCTGCATAGAGTCATATCTGCTTGTTCTCTGGTTGGCTGCGGGAGCTTTATGGTCCAGGCTTTCTTGAAGTACTTGCTCCTCAACTCCTCTCAAGAAAAGTGTGAGTGTCATTTTCATTGGATGAAATTAGTTTACAATTGGAAATAAGAGGGACTTAAATGGCATGTTTGACAGGACACTTGCATTGTAGATTTTTTCACTTATCATCTAGTATGTTTACAAAGAAAATATAGCTGAATGGAAGGATTTATACGGATGCATTTTCCAGACATGTTAATGTTGTATCTTTTTATCCTTTAATAAAAGAAATATTCTCACAAAGTACTATATATTTATACTATTAATCAATGCACATTGGCAGTTGGGTGGTTGTTTTACCATGTGGTTCCCGTAATCTTTCGAAGCCTTTCAAGTTGGAGCTTGCCATATATCCTAGTTTGCAGGTATTTTTCTTTCTAATTTATCAATTCACCAAAAATTGGGACTGGTATTGAATTTTTGGATGTTTCGGCTTTCATCTGCTACTTATCTGCTGTCAAATACTGAAGTTGGGTTCAGGCTTGTTATAGTCTTTATTGTGAATGGTCTTTAGCAATGCCTGTAGAGTTTAGTTTTGTCATTTATGCTGTTAGTTAATCCAGTCGATAGCCATTTTGGAATCTCTTGTAGCACTACTTAAAAAAGGTTGTCTTAGCTTTTTCTTCAATTTCTTTGGTTTCTTATACCCTTGATTACCTTATTGAGTTATGGGTTTCCCTATGAAAGAATAAGTCATAATCCTTCTTGAAAGGATCAAAAGTGAACCAAATTTGTGCCTAGAGGGGGGTGAATAGGAGAAACTCAAACAACCGTGCCCAATTTCAGTTTAAGCAGCAAATAGATTGTTGATGTAGAGTAAATCTCTAATATTGCAATCACGAAAGATAACATGCAATTTCCGTGGAAACCCCTGAAGAAAATTGTCCTCAAGGTAAAAACCACAGGCACATTGCGATCAAACAATCCATTATATCATGACATATAACAAGGTTTAATGTAGTGCCTTACAACCCAACCTGGTATGCAGTCAGCCACACTTGATACCCCCTACCACAAACTCTCGTTTGAACTCCAAGACTCAAGAAAAGCAACTTAGAACCCCCGGAATACACTTTGGACTTAACACCTTGTATCCATGAATACTCGTTCAATCTCCCCAGCTCTGGTGGCTCCCTCGTCGGACTTCTCTTGCATATGGACTAATCTTCCACGGATTTGTACAATATCATTACGTGGCTTGGATCACAATTGGCCAACAAGAATGAAAGGATGGTAAATGGCATTGTGCGTGCGATTTTTCAAAATTCACCTTGGAGTAGGTTTGCAGCTGTCTAGAAACAGTTGATCAAATCATTCTACTTCTCTGAAATTTTGGTGAAATACTTAAATACAGTATTGTGGTGTGGAGCTCTAAGGAAGCTAAGGCAATAGACAATCCTCTCTTGTGTTGTTAGAATATAAATAAGGTTGGCCTTTATCTAGTTTTGTTATAAAATACTATGCATGAATTCCAAAAATTTGCTTGAACAGCCTTTTGGTGGGTTCTGCTGGAAATCCCCTTGTTTGCTATCTGATTGAACAACCTTCAAGCAGAACTCTCGGGAGACCAATCTAGGAGACTGTTTGAGCGCTCCTCAAGTGGTGTTCATCCCTTGAGCAGCTCAAGCGCTCTCCGAGTGCCATTTGAGCGGGGCTCTCAGGGTATCTATTGTAGCCCCTTTTTTCAAACAGTTAAGCACTAAATACCCTGAGGACTAAAGGCAAAACCTAGTCAATTAATCATGGAAAAACATGTCCTAGATTAATGCAACATGCTCAGTAGGTAATGTATATCTTTTAACACATGGAGCCAGCATTGCCTGACCTCAGGAGATCTTCAATTGACAACTCAAGGATACAATGGCTTGCAACTGTTTGCCTAACAACCTAACTTCAGTTTTTTTATGAAATTTCCAACGCACAACTTGTCACATGGCTGAGGTTTTTCTTTTTATTTTGGATATGGGGAAGCAAGACTTATTTTCTTCTTTTTTTGATTTAGTTAAATTTATCAGTTAGATTTTCTGTTTTTATATTTTGCATGTGAAAAATATTCAGACCTTATCTAGTATAAGTTTCTCTTTATATAGGCAATAATCCCTGTTATTTTATTTTTCTTTTCTCTTTGATAAGTAATCATCCCTATTATTATTCTCTCTGTTACTGTTTATGTAAGGTGTGTTGTGGCATCCCTTTGTAGTCATTATGCTTCATGTCAAAGTGAGCACATTCACCCTTATTGCTGCCTTGATGAATCAAACAACTGGTAACTTTCACCTGGATCTTTGTGATTACTTGCAGTTGGTTCCATTGCTAACCTAAATCCACCCTATTGCCCATGGATCTAGGTAGCACTAGCTACAAGGTTGAGTGTACATCTTGCCCAATCCAGACCCCGGTTGGGAGACTCGTGTATTAGGTCACCCTTTATGGATTTAAACCATACCTGCCTTATTTTGCTGAAGAACTTATCCTTATTTGCTAACCCCACACTTTCTAATCAAGTCAGTTCTCTTTTCTTTCTTTCCTTCTTTCTTTCTTTCTTTTTTTTTTTTTTTGGGGGGGGTGGGTACAAAAAGATACATTCCTCAAGAATTCATGTCACCTATCTCATGACAATATATTATTCTTTCCAATTTGTTTATTTTTTGTTTGGTTGTTGTCACTATTGTTGACTGTTTTCAGGATTTGACAAACCTGGTGTATTTGATGTACCCTGCACTAATAATAGTGCTTGTTTGCTCTTGGAAATATCTTTTTATGTATCAATTAAGAAAAAGAATAGTCTACTTTGTTTTGACATTAACTATATTTGCTTCTTGTTTATATGGTCATTGAGATTTTAACTTCAACAATATTTTTGATATATGAGCAGGATGCCCTGCCTCGCATTCATATTGCACTGTGGAAATCCAACTTGGAAGAACCAAAGTTTAACCAGTCTGATCCTTCAGTGATAATTTCTGATAGTTCCACCAGTAATTCCTCAACATAGTCAAAGTTGGAATACTGTTATTATTTTGTGTGTGTGTGTTGATTTATTTTATTTTCAAGCATAGTCCCAAGATGTTTTAGGTGGAGGCAAGGTGTAAGTCTCAAGGAGTTAGGCATAAATGCATAGAATTTTGGACTGATTAGAACTGAAAATAGGTTTAGAAATTTTGAAGAGTATAAATATAAAGCAAAAGAAAATTTTAAAAAAATGGAAATTTATATGTCTGGGAACTTATTTAGGAGAATTTATTTTTTTATTTTATTTTATTATTTTATTTTTCTCAATTTATATATGAAGTTTAAAGGAAATTCTGAAGTAAACCTGAGGCCAAATGTCAGAAGAGCAGGCAAGGGGATTATACCTGGATTTCAACATTTGTAGCAAGTAGCTAACAGAAATTGCATTGGGTAAATTATTAATACACCCCTTGAGGTTTGCTTAAAGTACAAATTATCCCCTGTAGTTTGGAAAATTACAAATATCCCCTTGTTAAAAAAATTTATTTAACAAAATTACCTAAAAAATAGAAATTCATAATTGCTCTCCTATACAATAATAAAATTACCTAAATTATTAATTGAAACATATTTATAACATCATTAAAAACTATTAATTGACTTGATTTATTAATAAAAGGGCCGATTTGTTATGAAATTAGAAACCTCAGGGGGTGGAATGTAATTTTCAAAACTACAGGGAGCGATTTTTATTTTAATCAAACCTCAGGGGTGTATTTGTAATTTATCCAATTGCATTATAGGCTTTCCACTCATAATGATAGTCTGTTCAGATATTAAGTGGGGAAGTCCTTAACAATGTTAAAGTAAGAAGAATAGTGTAAAACTTAAGGAGTTCCATTTGCTTGTTAATGTTTGTGCCCAACATCTAAAAGGTTAACTTCAAGTCAAGGCACATATTGCATGCTTAAAGACTCCCTCACACTTGAATCTGTGAGTGTGTTGAATTTAAGGTAGCGTTTGGTTCATTGAAACGAAGGAGGAATTAACCATTAGAATGTCCAAGCTCACATTTGGTTTGCTAAAAAAAATGATGAAAAACATTGCAAATGGAATCATCATTCACCATTGTAAGTGAATGGTCATATTCCATAGGGAGACTAAGGAATGAGCATTCTATTCTATTCCATTCCACTTTCATTCTAGTGAACCAAACATTGCATTGGTACCTAGACTAGAGCTTACCTTTAAATGCTTTTTTTCTTGAACCTTGCCTCGAGATAATTATTAGGGCATAAGATTCACTTGTAAGTTTCTATGAAATATTTTGTCTAGAGAACTCCAATGGTCCACAATGAAACATGATGAAGTTGGTGCAAGTATATGTGTATCTATAATGTACCTGTCGTCCTGCTCTCTATGTTAATGGACTTAAAACATAATATCCACTCTACATACAGAGCTTTCAGTTTTGTTTTGGGATTGACTTTTGACGATAAGAACAAAATGTGCTTGCGTAGCGTTATAATTATTGTTTAGTGAGAATATATGCCTTAGAAGTTTAATGCACCTGAACTTTCTCTTTCTGTTACAGAAACACGCGTTAAACTTGCAGCTGTGAATGAAGCTGACAAACAACAATTGCAGTGGTTTTGTAATGCATGCAAAGGAATTCCGCAGGTAGTACAATAAAACATTTCTTAATTAATGTTGATCTATTTTGTGCTGGAGCATTGACAGAATTGATACATGATAATCACAGAGAAAATTGTGCTAGCATAAATTCTAACAAAGTTTGATTTTTTTTTTTAAAACATAAATCAGGCCATATACATTAGAACCTTCCAATTATGCATTTGGCTAATCATTTGGTTGTCATGAAATACTTATAATTAATTGTGCCTGTTCAAAAAATCAGGTAATGCATCCAAATTTTCCTTTCAACACCCAACCACCCGTTGTTCCAGCAACTGCCCCATCATCTACAGAGGATGTAGAATTAGCTATGGCACTCAATGCCTCAGTCCAATCGGTTATGGAAACAAGACCACCTCATGTTGATGCTATTCCTAGCCCCGGAGCAAACGCATCCTCCAGCAATCACGGTGGTTGGAGTACCTCGGCAGCCCCTCCTCCAAAAGGAAGTTGCAGTGGGTGGGAAATTCAGGAAGCTGGTCCAAGTGGCAATCCAACTCAACACGTTCAGAATCAAAGCGACATTGTTGTCCAAGCACCACATGAGATTCCCACTCCTCCTTCACTCCCATCGGCCCCACCTATTGACGATGTGGTCGTAGATGATGGTCCGATTCATTATCCATCAATCGATTCTAGTCCTATTGATTTGTCTTCCCCTCGTGTGGAGAACTTAGCTGATCAGGCTGATGACAGGAAAGAAGATTCTTCATCTTGTGTGATTTGTTTGGATGCTCCAGTTGAGGGGGCTTGCATCCCATGTGGCCACATGGCGGGATGCATGTCGTGTTTGAATGAGGTCAAAGCCAAGAAGTGGGGTTGCCCCGTGTGTCGTGCCAAGATTGACCAGGTTGTACGGCTTTATACTGTTTAATCATCAAAGCAGAAAATGGTGAAGTTGTATAAGGTTAGTGAGCTTTCGGTACCTTGAAAACTGTCTATATCTTCTAGCAGATGTTAAAATAAAACTATTACATACATTTATCAGCAACTTCAAAGGTTTTTGAATATATTATGTAGACCCCTTTATGCTTTCTGAAATGCCACCTACCTTCCTTGAAGTTTTGGAGTTACATCATTCTCTTCTCTCATATAGATTTGTTCTTATTGAACATTTCAGATACTGATTTATGCTTACTGAAGATATTGATTGATCTGTAAGATAGTGATGAAAAGCTCTCTTATACCTATATAGTTAATTTGTTATTAGCACAGAGGGAAGGTTGGTGACAACCCTAGAAACCTAAGCGGTGGTCGGTGATCTAAGCACCATGGAAACGGACACGATAAGGACACGACATGGACACGTAGACATGCAAAATTTTAAAAAATGCAAGACGCAACATGTTGGGGACACGTGCAAAATATATAATTTTATATATTTATTATGTCATTTTTTAAAAATATTTAATGTTACTAAATTTATCACTTTTAAGTATGCTATTTTAGTTAAAAAAATAAAATATTTTAATATTTTTTGAAAAAATGGTCCCCAGCGTGTCTGGCTCTTTCTAGCATGTCCGTGTACGACACATGTACGTCACCTCTAGAGAGGTGTCTGTGCTTTATAGTCAGTGAAACTCCGAAACTAAATGAAAGTTTGGTGATATAATTGAAATTGAGGTTTCTAGTAGTCTAAAAAATAAATAATACTAATTCTATAATACAAGAAAAGGATATTAAAAAGTGAAATTCACTGACATGAAATACAATCTGTCTTTAATTTTGCAGATGGCAACATACATACGAGTGCAAGAGAGTTGCCAACTACAAACAGATCATCGGTTGCATGGTGTCTACCTGGTAATCACATTTTGTATAACTTTGTGAATAGATTGTTATATATTGGAACTGGACCGAGTTCACACGGTTAATGGGATTTTTCTTTCATTTAGTGAGATGCCTAGTAAAGATTGTAATTTGTTGTATAGAGGAAGTGGACTGAAGTTTCCATGTCCTTGTAAAACTCTGTTTTTTCTATTGTGTGTGAAGCTGTACTTTCTAACAGTTTTGATGCTGGTATGATATCATTGCTGTTGCTGATTTTCACTCCCTTACATATATGTATATATATATATATGCTCTCACTAGCGAAATTGCCTTGAAGGCACTTCATTATTCGAAAACAACATTAATTATTAGATTTATTCAATCTTAACCCTCGATTTTGCCACTTAGGACGTTTTTCAAAAACTTGTTCATTTTATTTTATAGATATATATAGTGATTGCAAGATGAACTCCATCACTCCTTTTGCAGGTGAGTTTTGAATAATTGCCATTGCATGTTTTGGGTTTTACTGGAAATCTTCCTCTTTTTAGCTATGAGAAGCTTTTTGACTCGTTTGAAACTTAGGGGTAGGTGCTAATGCTTTGATCTTGTGGAAGTGGGCTTGTGCACTTCAAGTTTGGTTTGATCTTGAATCTGTGGAGAAAGAAAATGCTAGGTAGGGAAAGAAGCTAAAACTAGTTCTTGTTTTATTTTTTTGCTTGTGTTAGGAAAATGAATGTGTATTTGACCAAAAAACTATTTTTTTTTTCTTGATTATCATAGAAATGAATATGTATATATCTAATTTCATTTCTTCTTGATTTTCTTTTCACAAATATAAGATACAATAGCATAGCATTAAAGAAAATTGTTTCTTCCTAGTTTTTACTCTCAGTTCTCAAGTAATGGTCACTATTTGAGAGTCTTTTATTAGTAACACAATTTTAATGAAATTGTTGCGAAAATTAAACAAGACAGTCGTTGAGAGCTCTTTAATTTTTATTCAACAAAATGATGCACACAACATTTCATGTTGGCAAAAAGACATGGAATGAAAGCATTGAAATCAGCTCTGTTCTTTCTTTTTAACAGGAGAAGATAAGTAAGTGTTAAAATTTTAATAACTATACCATTAGTGGTATAACATCCCATGTTGGCTCAAAGCTAATGCCTCCCTTAAAACTGCCTACTTACTTTAATGGACTTAACTAATGAAGTGAAGTCCAATCCCAACGTTGTGATTACAGACAACTAATTTGCTAGGAAAGTTATATTGGATTCTTTCCAGGGAGCAAGAGATAATTACATTTTGGTTAGGAGTGGTACTTATGCCCTGTTTGTCAAGAGTTTTTTTAGTTAAAATAGTCAATAAAAACAAAAAAAAATGTTAAAATAATTAATAAGACAAAATGTCATGTCATACAAATTAATTAATTACTTTTTTTTTTTCTCACAACTATCTACTCAACTACAAAAAAAAATCACAAATCATTCCAAACACAATTTTTTTCATCTCATAAAATAATTAAAAAATCAAAAAATCAATTAAAATAGTCAAATTTCCAAATAAGGCCTTGGTGCACAACGATGCTGATTACTCTCGGAGGGAGAGATAACAGGTAGAAAGCATTTTCTTACTTTTTTTTGGAAGAGACTGATTTAGATATAGCGAATAATACTTGCGAGCGCTCTAAGTCCTGACCCTTTTTTCTTTTATTCTTTTCTTAAACGAAATGAAGTGATGTCAAATTGTAACACGACTAAAGATAGATAATTACCTTGTAAAGTTATACTGGATTTTAACCAATAAAGCGTAGTTGTCGTACATTCATTTCTTAACCAAAATAAAAATGGAAAACTTATGTATAGATCCTAATATGTGAACTTATTATTAATAGGTCCTGTGATAACTAACTATATTTTTCATTAATCACTATTAAAAAACGTCACTAATTATTAATTTTCAACAACAGTTTGAAAAATTTATCACAAAAAATTACTAATTATAAGTTTTAGCGACAGTTTAAAAAAATCATCATAAAAAAAGTCGCTAATTTTCAACTTTCAATGACAAATTGAAAAAATTATTATAAAAAAATGTCACTAATTGAAAGTTTTAGAAACAATTTATAAAAATCATAACAAAATAAAGTTACTAATTGTCAATTTTTAGCGACATATACAAAAATCATCATAAAAAATTATTTTTAGCGACAATTTTAATAGGACTAATTTTTAATAAGATTTAAGAGGAATTAAGTCTAACTATTAACTATTAAGATATACTGTTAATTTACCTAATAAAGAAACATGTCGCTATTGATTTGATAATTCCCATTCCATCATAGTTTTTCCCCTATTTTTGTGATATAGTTTTGGCAACTCACAACTTTTGAGAGAGAGAGAGAGAGAGAGAGATGATTATTGGATATAATGACATGGAATCTTTATCATGAGATTTTCTCGACTGGTCCCTTCATGCTATTGTGAATTCTAGTGTATGATTAAAATAAATAATAACCAGATTAAGTGAGTTTAAATTATTTGAAATCAGAATTCAAGTTGAAGTCACTAATTACTTCTATGGCAATTTACTTCTAAAAATTAGTTATGGAGTTTGGCTCTAAGTAGTTATGTATATAGTGAACTAATTGGATGATACATACATAATTTTTAGGTTCATTACATATATAATTTGAAATCCACTGATTACATCCAATGCAATTACTATTAATTATAGTAACTTGCATTAGAACCTAAAAATTAGTGGTGACACTACAAGTTTTTAGATTCTATTTCAAGTTTCTAGTAATTACTTGACTCCAACTAATGGCGTATACTTTCATTAGTTCTAAAAATTATGCATGTAGTGAACCGAAAAATTGCATTAGAAGTTCGCTCTAGTTTTGGAATTTAAGTTGTTCAGGATTTGCAATTTGGCACCCAAAAAAAAAAACCTGTTTTAATAGCTTGCCACATGTATATACATATATGTAATTTGCACCCCCTTTTTTTTTTTTGGAGAAGTATTTTGCCTATTAAACCGATTAATCTGAAAAACCAATCTTATCATCCATTAGCAGAGGGCTCAATTAAAGTTGAGAGGCCGTAAATGTAATTTGTACCTTTTTTTTATGACTCGGTATTCGATTCATTGAACCGACTAATTCAGAGAATCAATCCCTCCACTTAAGCATATAAGTTAATACTTAAGATTTTGAGAATCAACTAATTACTTCTAATGCAATGCATATTGTACCAACTTGCTTTAGATTGATTTAACTTTAGTTATGGAATCAACATATGACTCACTCTTGGGGTTAAGTAATAGTATTTTGGAATTTCTTTGGAAGAATATATATATATATATATATATATAAGCCGTAATTAATTAAAGTTAGCATAAAGTTAACAAAATTGTACGGACACAATCAATGGTAACCCTTTTTGCCAAATCATTAAGATCTTGTATTTGAATTTGTATGGTTTCAATGGGGAAAGATTTTGCATAGTAAACTTTAGATATAGGTAATTACTTTAAAACTACATATATTGATTAAGACCGGACACAATTTTAGAAATAATCAAATTTGGGATGTTCAGATTTGCAGTTAATCTTAAGACGAGTCTCTTTATCATTGGACTATTCAAGCAGGCTAGATTCCATTGATATACTAGTGAACAATAGTACCAATTTCCCTCAATCAAGTGCTATACTATTATGGCACATCTTTTACACCACTTTAAACTCAAAATCCACCGCCAAATTGGACTAAATTCTACTTTGCTTTTCTTAATTAAAGGGAAAAACAAGCAAAAATGCAAAAAAATGTGATTACGTTTGGGCTCTTTCACCCATTATTCGTATCTTGATACTAATTTTTTTTAGGACATGGTACAATCAAAAGATTCGCACCCGGCTTAAACGAGTAATCTTACATTTTCAATTTCATCGGTTTTCTCCAACCCTTTATCAAGAACCCACAATCATATTATTCTATTTGTTTGTACTAAATCGAATAAATGAATGATTACAAAAATGAATTAATGTTGATCCTTTGCATTACGGGGAAGAAAGGAAATGAGAGAGAACCCAAGTATCTGTTATTGTTGGGTTACATGTAATTATTATTTATATTTGATCGGCAAAAAACACAATTTATTGATAAGTTCAAATAAAAGTACAATGTATAACAATCCAAATAACATCAATAAATATGCTACGATGAAACTCAAGTTGCATCATGGATATGCAAAGTATATCCCACCTAGGTGGGCATATGAAAAGCTAATGAAATTGTATGCAAATCCATCTCAGCAAAAAATAAATAAAAGAGAGAAAAGAGGATTACATGTTATTATTGATCAATATTAATTCATGTTGATATGACCCCTTGATCATAAAACCAAACAAAGATGGATATGTTTTGTTGTTGCTATCACATTAATGTTGTCTCAATGTGTTTGATTTCTCTTTTTATTCGTCTGTTTTAGCAGAAAATATTTTATAGAAAACTTTTTTATTTCCTTGTATTTGGTATGATAAAAAATAAAATAAAAAATTCCAAAAATAGGTGTTAAGTTGCCAGTGTCATCACTAATCCATTACTAAAACTCTTTTGTTGTGTCACAAAAGTATTAGCGACGACAACTTGTGATGGCAAAAAATTGATTTTTGTTAGTAAAAATAACAACTATAATTTAGCAATACCAAACTTTGTATCATATTGACACTGGTTTGGCAATTATTCAATTTCCAAATCATACTTTCCTCCTAGTTCATGACGGTGTTCATAGATTGTATTTGAATTTGGCATTGTGCAAGGAGAGTAGAAAAATAAAAACTACAATCTTGCAGCATTCAAGTATTATTGTCAAAATATAACATTTTGAGTATTAGGGAAGTTTGGTGTAACTTATTTAATTTTTTATTTTTTTTTATGAAAAATGCTATAGACTCCAAATAAGTTACCAAATTTTCTATCAAACCTCTTATATAGGTGTGGGACCCACACAAATCACATATGTGTGAGTCCCACATCCATATGAAAGGTTTGGTAGAAAATTTGATAATTTATTTGGGGACTCTAGCATAACTCTTTTTTTATTATGAGATTTTATGTCAAATTGTTTAGTGTAACTTTTACTTACTAAGTAAATAAGCTAAAAAAAACTAATTATTTGAAAATTATGGGAGGAATGCTTTTGGTTTCTAGCTTTTAAGTTGGCTTTGTATCAATTTTTGTTTTGATGAATTTTTTTCAATTTCAAGGTTTTTTTTATTTATTTATTAAAGTTCATATAGACTAGACGATTCTCAATATAAAAATTTAAATTTAAAAAAAAAATTAAGGCAATAAAAGGGTAGTTTTTATCCAAGAATTCTTTGAAATCAATTTTTCTTCTTTAGTGAACTTCTATTAAAAATAATTTGTAAATTTTAAGTTTTATGATCTAGATTTCAGATTGACATAAAGAGTATTTTAAAAAATGTACTCAAACTGAAGAAAAGAAATTATTACAAATCGAAAAAAAAAATGGTGGAAAAAAAAAGAAAAAAAGAAAAAAGGAAAGACTCCCAAAAAAAAGCTTAATGCTATGATGGCATAATTTGGACACTAAATTTTGAATATTATTTAATGTACTACTAATGTATTGGCATAGGATTTGAAATGTGAAATTCATTGAATCAACACGTTAGTGACAAATTACATTATATCCAAAATTTTATCACATTATTAAATCCAAAATTTAATCATAAATATTTTTGGGATGCATCCAAAAGAATGGAAAGGGTATTTCGGTAATTATAGGAAGGTATTGTCAATCAAAGCAAAAGAGAAGATTGATTGGTGAACAAACAAACAAAATCATATTATTCCCACTTTTATTTGAAATAAATCATCAGCTTTTCTCGTCTTTATCTATGTGATAATTTTTCCCTAACCCAAGTTTTTCTTCTCTTTCATTTACTCTCATTTTTTAGAGAGGGAGACTGAAAAAATAGTTGGAAAATAATTTATCCCTACAAAAATCTCTCACAAAAGTGCTCTTCCATAGACTTTGACCGACAAGAGTTTAGTGTTACAGTGTAAGTGAATAGACTCTTTTCCGTTAGAATCTATGAAGGGATGTTTTTATGAGAGATTTTTGTGGTGATGTAGCACGACTCAAAAAAACAATTGCTTCCCTTTTTTAGGAAAAATATCTTCCATTCTCTCTTGAAAACGTTTTCACAGAAGAAAATAATATAGAAGTCAATTTTTTAGACTCATTTTTTAACCTAGTGATATGTTATAATTAGGGGTGGGCGCGGGTTGGTTGCGGCCATGGAACTTCCAATCCGCCATCCGTCCGCCAGATTGGCGGATTGGAGAAAATCAATCCGCATCCGTCCGCCAATCCGACGGATGTGAATTTAGCGGATTGGTGGTTTGGCGGATAGATGCAAATCGGTTTGGCGGTTTAAAATTTTATAAATTTTCAACATAATTCAACTTTTGCACTTCCCCAAATAAAAAAAAAAAAGAGAAGAAAATATTACAATCAATGACTTAAAAAAATATTACAATCATTGCATGCCTCATCCAAAGTAAGAAAGTTTGAAACTTTAGAATATCATAATCACCGCATGCCTCATCCACAAAAATTATTACAATCTGTGATTCTTAAAATATAAAAACAATTCAAACCATCAAAACCATAAACATAGCAGTAGTAGAGATTGTATGTCTCTGTATTGTTACATCTATATCTGTTTTTGAAAACAAAAACCAACCAGCATATATCATATTTTCTATTTATTATTTTTAGAGATAGATTTAAAAACTAAAAAATATAGATAAATAATACATTTATTTTTTTCAATTCAAAAAAGATATTCAAGTTGAAATTTTTTTTTCAACAGAATATTTAAACTCTTTTTTAATTGAAAACACAAACAGAATATTTAAACAAACTAAAAATACAAAGTCTTATAAATTACTAGGGGTGCTCGCGATTTGGCGGTTCGGTTGCGGCCAAAGGAATCTCAAATCCGCCATCCGTTCGCCAGATTGGCGGATTGGAGAAAATCAATCCGCAACCGTCCGCTCGTCATCACGTATCCGTCCAAAATGCGACAGATCGGTTCGGTTCGGTCGGTTTTGACGGATCGGTACATCCGCTGCTCACCCCTAGTTAAAATGATGACTAACTGATAATTAAACAATATGTAAAAGAAAGAATTACATTATCTATTAACTTTTAGGTTAGAATTGCAGTACTCTTTTAATAAAAAACAAAGCTGTAAAAGCGAACCATGCATCTCATGTAGTATGGCCTTTCATGGTTTTCTAGGATTGATCAAACAAAGATTCAAAAGGCTAGAAAGCAAAAAATAGATTGAGCCCCCTCTTGTTCCCCATGTGATCAATAATTTCGATGAAAAGTAAAAATAATAAAAAATATCAAATTTGAAATTCAAGATTAAAATATGAAGTAGTTACATATAGGTAATTGAAGAAGGGTAAATTTAATGAAAATAGAATGACGGTTCAAACAAAAAAAAAAAAGTATGTGCTTTATACACATTACCAAAAATTAAAATTTTAGAGATAAAAATTTATGAATAAAATAATTTTTCATGAACAAAATATTTTAATTGTCAAAAGTGCTATTATTGTATTTTTAGTGACAAAATTAGACATTTAATGATGAATTATTATCTTCTTGGCCCAAAAATTTTCATCTCAAAAAATAAATAATTTTGGCACAAAATTATTTTATCCTTAAAAGTATATTTATTAGCGACATTTTTTAAATATTGTCATTAAAAATTATTTTTTTGACCTTTAGAACGACTTTTTAGTGACGACTCATGTTACAACAAAAACTGTTCTCCTAATGTTTTTTGTAACAAAATTTTTACTTTTGAAAATAAAAAAGTTTGGTCACTAAATAATAAAATATATTGGTCATTCCATAATGAAAAATAACATATAAGTCCACTTTCTAAACCTACTTTCTAAGCCCAGTGATGTGTTAACACGATAATTGGTTTATAATTAGAGAATAAATACGAAAAAAATTGATGTAGATATTTAATAGAGTGTCACATCATTAAATCTAGAAAGCAAGTTTAATTTTTTAACTTGAATAGCAATACCTTCTGGAAACATACCCCCAAAAGTGTGTACTTTATGCAAATTATGAGATCTAAAATAAATGATGAGTCATAATCAAATATCAACCAATAAAATTTAATCATAACCAAAATACTCACAATAGGTAATAACCAACATCACAATAAATTATAACTAAGTCATAACTAATATCACAATAATTTATAACGAAAGACTACAAATGTCATAAGTGGTTGTATTATAGAACTTTTCAATATATATATATACATTGGCCCAAAAAGGTTGGGCTTCAATCCAAATCTAGACTGGAAGATATTGTTTAGGCCCATCTAGCCCATCACAAGTTCAGTTTTGATAATTTGAACCGTTCATTTTATCGAGTTCAATGTGTATATCATCCGTAAAAAAATTAAGTCAATTCAATGTTCGTAGTTCAGTTTTGATAATTTGAATCGTTAGTTTGTCTCAAAAAAAAACTAACGGTCAATGTGGTTTTAAAAATAGGCCATTCATTTTTGTTTCTAGAAATGTGATACAATGAATGGGTTACAAATATCAATCAATTTAATTTTTTTAATAGATGATATAAATGCAAGGCTTGACAAAATGAACAGTTTTGATCATTAAAACGGGATTTGTGATAGGCTCCAAAGACCCGAATAGCACCCTTCATTCCAGATGATGAACTGAAGAGAAGCCGAGCCCATATTGAGAAATTATATACAATCTCACTTTGTTAATCCAATGATATATAAGTGAGATGATTGCTGGTTGATAACGAGAGAATATTTGAGAAAGAGAAAAAAAAAAGAGTTATCGTACATATTTTAATACTTATTAAATCATTAGATTTGAAAAATGAGTCTTATTTTTTAACTAGAATATTGATATATAATTATATTAGTAGTTGATACACGTGATGCGTGTACAATTTAAATAAATAAAAATAAAAATATATGATTAATTAATTAGTATCATAATATATGTGCCGCTCACGTGATGTAAATTTTCTTTACCAAACTCAAAGAAATTCACTTAACATAAAGAGAAGTAAAGGTTTTAGGACATCAAGTCAAACATTTACTTTATATGTAATTAGTGATTGACACATAGAAAATTGTATAATTTAAGTAAGTGAAAATAAAAAATTAATATAATAATATATATGTTCATCAAGAGATATGAGTTTAACGTTCCCCTAATATAATAGTATAGATATAAAACTTATATTGACATAAATGTCCATAACTTTTTTGCCTCATATCACTGCTTAGGTCAAATTATATGAAAATTTTAAACTTTTTTTTTTTTTTTTAAGTTTAAATATATGTTTTTTAAAGTTTAACTATATGCTCATCGAGTCTACTCACCGCTAATATATATATATATATATAGAGTTTTTTTCTAGTTAAATTTTCAATTAGATTAAACAGTTGAGATTTTTTACCAATAAAAATTATTAAACGAAGGTTTCCTGTCAATAAAAATTTATAAAAACATAACCTAATTAATTATTTTCAAAAATTTTTACAAGTAAAAATCTTTCATTTAATGACTTTTATCGATAAAAAACTTCTATTTAATAATTTTTACAAATAAAAAACCTCAACTTTCTAATCCCGTTAAAAGTTCAACTGAATAGAACCCTTCCCTATATATATATTTCATCTTCTCCAACTCCAAATGTCTCTCTCTCTCTCTCTCTTCAAACATGACACCCAAGTGAAAATCAATGAATGATTATAGTCCTTTTGGTTCCTTCAATAGCATCTAAACCTAGTTCCTTCCATCCACCTTTCTTCAAGTAAATTGCTCCATCTCTCTCTCTCTCTCTCTCTCTCTCTCTCAAACAAAAGATCAAACACTAACATGGACTCAAACCCACTAAAAATAGACTCTCCAAACCCAGACATCACAACCATGATCACCAGCACCACAACTACCTTATCCTCAGCATCATCATCATCTTCTTCCTCCTCCACCTCCCCATCTCCTCTAAGCCGATACGAAAACCAGAAACGCCGAGACTGGAACACCTTCGGCCAGTACCTCCGCAACCACCGCCCACCTCTCTCTCTCCCCCGCTGCAGCGGCGCCCACGTCCTCGAATTCCTCCGCTACCTCGACCAATTCGGCAAAACCAAAGTCCACACCCATCTCTGCCCCTTCTTCGGCCACCCCAACCCTCCCGCACCTTGTCCCTGCCCTCTCCGCCAAGCCTGGGGCAGCCTCGACGCCCTCATCGGCCGCCTCCGTGCCGCCTTCGAAGAAAACGGAGGCAAGCCCGAAGCGAACCCTTTTGGCGCTCGAGCGGTGAGGCTTTATTTGAGAGAAGTTCGCGATTCGCAGGCCAAAGCTAGGGGTGTTAGTTATGAGAAGAAGAAGCGAAAGCGGCCGCCATTGCCACCGGCATTGCCACCTCCTCCTACTACAAGTTAAGCTAGGATGAAGTGGGTAAGTATTGATGATACAGTCATATATCGATCGATATGAGATAAAATCGACTTATATATAGTCGGTGAATATCAGTATTAGAAGTTCAAAATTCTGATAAATGTATTAGTATTGAAAACCTGAAATCGTCTATGTTAGCCAGGCTTGCCATGGATGCTCACAATTAATAAGTGCATGCATAATCTTCTACTCCATGAGTACTTTATATGCAGCTAGGTTTTTCTCTTTTTTGTTTAGAAAAATAAATAAATAAAACATCAAACTCTTTTTTAAGAATAATCAGATGTACACAATCGTCCTCTACTCTCTCTACGTACTCTACATACAAATAAATTGTTTGTGTATTTTAAATTCATGACATTCGAGTTACAATGTCACCCTTATATATGTGTAACATTTGTTTTCTTTTTGTTGCTCCTAGAAAATATATATATATATATATATATATTAGGGATAGGCATAGACAATATATTTATAATTTTATTTTTAAATTCTGAATGATTTGAAAAATATTTTAATAGTTTTGAACATATGATGAATAAGAAAAATTATTTTGCAATTATTGTTAGATGTGATTGTATGTGAAGCCACCAGCTTAAAGGTTTAAAGTGTTATCAACACAAATCAAACAAGAGCAATGCTAGGTATCATGAAAAAACTTTCATGAAAATGATCATAAAAGATTTATGATCTTTGGATTACACTTGAAATAAAGCACCACACACTAATCAAGGTAATTCAAGAATCATAAATCTTTTATGATCATTTTCTTGAAAGTTTTTTTCATGATTCCTAGTTTTTCTCATCAAACAAATATGTGGTTTGTGTAGAATAAATTTATGTTTATCTAAATTTTATTTTCCCTCCCTATATTTGTGGGGTGCTAAAAGTGATAGGTACCTATTGTTTCTGGTAATGCAAACAGTGACAGTTTAAGTAGTTGTAGAGTGGTACTGTATGTATTAGTTGTAGTCATCCTTTAATATCCAAATGGTCATAGAAATGTACTGCTACTTTCAAAAGCCAATTATGACAAGTAATAGATTTGCAATATCATGTCTCCATGTCTTTTTTTGTGTGTTGTTTTTGTGATTCTTTACTGGTATTGGCAAATCATCCTGACATTCATATAAAAGTTTTAATAACTTTGCAGAGATCATGTGTCAGATTTGCAGAGCATTATAGGCTATAGCTTTGTTTATTTTTGGTAATGTAAGAAATTATTGGGTAATCCTGATAGAGGAGAAATTATTTATTGTTCGCAAATTTAGATGGTGTTTTAACTTAAGTTATTTGTTGAAATAGTAAGTTAAGTTTCATTTATTATTTGTCTGTTTTGGAAAGGCAATTGAATACTTATCCAAATATAATTGGTGTTTCTAGGACAATGAATGACTTCTCATGGTATAGATGCTAATTGATAAAGAGAGTGAAACTTATGATTTGATATTAAATGATAGAAAAATAAAACAAAATATGATATTTGATGATTAATAAAAATAGGATTAATTACAAAAAAAAAAAAAAAAATCTTAAGGTTTTACGTGCTTTTTATTTTAAATTTTAGTGTTTCAATTTCGACAAATTAAATCTTGAAATTTCATCCGTGTTTCAATTTGCCCCTTCCGTCTATTTTTGTCTGTGTAAGATAACAAAGGGGGTTTACAGTGAAAAAAAATTGGAGTTTAAAGTGAAAAACACATAAAATCTTAGGGTTTATTTTGTAATTAACCTTTTTTTTTGTTTTTAGTTATTTTAAGTTTTAAAAAATGGTTAATTATACACACACAAAAAAAAAAAATCAAAATCTCACGTGTTTTTCACTTTAAATCTCAGTATTTTTCACTTTAAACCCCTTTCATTACTTTACATAGACGAAGAAGAACGGAGAGGATATTGAAACACGGATGGAACTCTAGGACACTAAGATTTAAAATAAAAATGTAAAACATCAAAATTATTTTTTTATTAACTCATAAAAATATTATCACATGATACTTTAAGACCGCTTAATAATTTTTCGTACAGTAAATATTTGATGGGTTTTTCCTTTAGCCTCTTTTTTGGTTAGCTAGCTAGTGCTTTCCTTTCACTCTGAAATGGGAAATTATATGAAAGGGTGTACACAATTATATCAACCCAAAGGGTTGGCTTAATTAGTGGGCAAAATTTGAGGTTTAGGGCTGTATTTTGTTTAGGTATCAAGTTCAAACTAACAGTAATAAATTCTCTAGGGCCACATCCATTCAGAGCGTTCACCGTAGCTTTAAATGGAATCATGCAAGTAGGTGGTGGGATTAGTCTCAACTTTTTTTTATATATGAAACGGTGTAAACCCTATTATATATTTTTATGATATATGTTACGTATTTTTGTAATAAATATTATGTAATTCTTTGGTAGAGTTATTATAATTTGTTATTAAAAATGAAATTACAAATTTCTTGGTAATGTTATCTAAACATTTTCTAACTAAAAAATAGGTAATATTATCACAAAAATACGTAACATCATTTCTGAACCACAAATTAAAGTAACTTTATCAGAAAAATATGTAATATTTATCATAAAAATACATAACATACATCACAAAAATACATAATAATACACACCTTTTAAGAGGTATGTTCCATAGCATTACCCCTCTGAAATTTATCAAGAATATTCTCAAGTAGGTTGCCTTTTAGCTTGCATGAAAAATTCCCCAAAACACTTTTGTTTGTTTGTTTGGTTTTCAAAATTTATTTATTTTTAAATTTTTTTAAAAATTAAAAATGATTTTAATGAAAAGATTAATGAATAAAACATACTCATCATTTTCATATAGTTTTATTTTTTGGGAGGCAAAAATAATTTTTAAAATTTTTAAAATATCTTTTTAATATTTTTTTTTTGTCAAATTAATTTCTATTTTCCAAAAAAAAAAAGTAAAAATCTGACTCTAAAATGTATAAACCATAATCATTCTGGATAATTTACATCTTATACCTTATTTTAAAAATAATTTTCAAAACAAAAATTCATAATAAATAACATTTTTCATTCTTAAATAGTAGTGTTCCACATATTCATTTGTTGTGCAAATCCATAACGAAAAATGCTTGAAACACTTTATTTATCACCCTAATGATATGTCTGATAAATGTTAAATTTTAATTTGTCAAACATATTTTAATATGTGAGATCTAATTTTAATATCACATCATTAGAGATTATTTAGGGATGATAAATTAATGTAGTATCACTCAATCCATAACCCATATCTCCATTATGTGAACAAAAATGTTAAAGATTTTAAAAATTCTACCAAATGTCTTACATGGGTGTAGAACCCACATGAGATCCACATTACCCATGTGAGACATTTTTTAATTTTTGAAATCTCTAACATTACTCTGATGTGAAACCAATCTTCCATGTTCCCCAAATTGGAGATAGCATTAAATAAGGGAAGTACATTCATATGAACTCTTTGAGCAGTAAATTTTAGAGAGAATTACAAATCAGTTTATTTTTAAAAAATAAGAATAATGTTTGAGAGTTCGAAACTTTGCCCCCCTAATCCCCCTAATGCCCAAAATGACGTCGTTTTGGGCATTAGGCTTTTTTTCTTCTTTTTTTTCTTTCATTTTCGACCATTTTCAAGCTCAAAACGCAGAGGGAAGAGGGAGAGGGACATCCATAGTTAGGAAAGCAAAGCAGACAAACCCTACATTCAGAGTTGTTCATATTTTTTGCCCTATCCATGAAACAAACATGTACTATAAAAATAGTAATACTATAGATTTAGACATAAATATTCAGAAATTATTCAAAATTTCGTATAAATGATTCAGATTGATTTTATATGTAAACTCCACATTTCATCAATTCAATCTCTACTGAACATACCTATTTCTAGGTAATTCTGGCTTCCAAATTTCTAGAACCCTAACTTTTTATTGATAAAAATGAAACAACAATGCTATAATTTTAGAATAAATAAATTTTAAAAATGCTTAGAAAACGATAAATTATAAATAGATGGGATAGTCATAAAATAATTGCATTACAAATAAGATTTTTTTAATATTTTTTTTTTTATTTTTTTGGATACAACTCTAACAAATGGGAAAATGAAAATGAATTTTTATTGATGACTCTAACAAATAAGAATTTCATTTTCTTTAAAATTTTATCGTAAAAATAACATAAATTTTTATTGATGTTTTATTTATTTAATTAAAAAATAAATTTATTTAATTTTTAAAAATAAAATAAATTTTAATCTAGCAAAAAAAATTTAAAATATTAAAGATAGATTAGTATTGCTATTACTTAGAGCATCCCCAGCACTTTACTTAAAATTTACCCTAAAATATTATTAAAAAATTTATTTCCTATTTTAAGAATCACTTTTTCATCTACTTCCTTCAACAAACTCCCTATTATTTTCCTAAAATATTATTAAAATATTCATTCCCTATTTTTTTACTTTTTCATCTTCTTCTTGGCTTTCCATTTCCATTTTTCTTCTGAGGCAGTCCTGTAATGAAAAAAACAAGCATTTATGGAACTTACCAAACAAGTGCGAGATGATAATGGATGGAACAATCATCACAATGATATTAATTGTTCTCTTCTTCATCTTCTGTATGGAATTATGAAGTCTTTGACAAATTGATATATATATACCCAGTTCTCTCTCTCCCTCTATCTCTGCTTGTATATATCTATACAATACATATATAAGCTTTGAGAATGGATAGAGCAAAGCCACTGGCGGTCAATCGGCCGGACGTCCCGGTGGACGATCGGCAAAGCAAGTTTTGGCCAAATCAGTCATCTAGGACATCCCGGTGGATGATCACTGTCAGATATAAGGGAGCTACAATGACTCCTTACAAATAGGGAGTCACTGTAGCAAATATTAGTTTAGGGTGATGTATAAGGAAGCTGATGTGATGGTATAAGAAAGTTTCAACCCCCTAAAATAAGTAAGGACATGATTTAAGGGCTCTGCTAGGGATGCTCTTAGTATATAATTGAAAATGGTAAAATAGTCTATTGAACATTTATCATTCTTCATAATATTCCAATCAAACATTAGATTCAATAAGATAATCTTTTCCAGACATGAAAAAACAAATATAGAATACACATAATTCGATGAATTGCAACCTTCCTTATCTGATCCGTCTAAACAAGTATAGTCTTAGGGTTTATAAGTATTTGTTTTACTAGATTTTGTTATCTCATATAAGTTATCATATAAGCCAACAACTCACCTCAAAATTAAAAGTGCTAAGCAAATAAAAAAAAAATTCTACAAAAAATTAATATAGAAAGATGTAGTAAAATTTGAATTTTTT